TGATTACCTGCTAACGGAAACTCTGCTACACCATTCTTATTATTATTATTATTGAAACATGACCGGTAAGTTTCAAATTTGTCCTGTAAAATAAATTCTGTCCCGACATATCCGCTTACATTCATAATGTCAGCGGAGGGAGGGGAAGCGGCGCTGTGGAAGAGCAGAGTGGCGAGCTGTCATCTTCCCTTTCCAAGCTTCAAACATGTATTTATCGTGTGATTTTGGAAATAAAAATGTCATATTCTGAAAGCCAAGACTTTGTTTATTTAAAATCAAACAAAACACCCGATCCCCGAAAAACTATTTTTTTACGCAAATCCACGTTTATTTTGAAATGAGCCGTTGCGACTTTCGACTGATTTCGATAGAGCGGGTCACATATGGCAAATGTGTGGTTGGGGGGAACCAGGTCAATTCAAGTACTTATTTAACTATTAAATACATTGAGTTTGAGTAAAATACTTGGTTACTGATTAATTTAGGTTATAATATATGAAATTGCAAAGCAAAACTGCTGTAATTGATTTATTTTGTCCTTTGGTATTTTTTTAAAGGTTTTCAACCTGAAAGAATCCTAATGTGTCCTTGAAAAGTTGAAATAAAGAAAAGGAAAAAGGATTCCAGTTGTCCCTCAAGCCTCTCAAATGTGGGCAAACACTCAAATAAATGCCAAAACCCCAGAGAACTTGACAATACTTATCAGAATAAAAGTATGTTAAATAACACTGCTAGTTACTTTACTCAGTGGAGGCTCGTCCATCGAGGAAAGGGAGGACCATCATCCCTACAATTTCAGAGAAAAATAAACTTTGAAGAGAACAATAAATACACCTCAATTTAAAAGATAAGTCTGTTAAAATACAGATAATAGCCTGGCTTTGGGACTGAAATGGGGCTAGAGAGGACGAGCCTGGGCGGGCCTAGCCAGAGGCCCTGGATTGGGCGCTTATATCATCAGTGAACCAATCAGCGGATCTGACTGCGCATCAGAGTGTTGATGGGGAGGGTCATCAGCGATATCAGAGTTTTTTCTGAACCGGGGAACAGGGGCGCTGCGCCCTCTTACCAAAATCAATTCCTTGAATTAGGCTTTGATTATGTTCTGGCCCGCCATCTTGCGGCTCAGCAAAAAATTGGCCCACGGCCAAACTTACTTGCCTACCCCTGCTATAAAGGAACTACAGCAGGGTCGCTGCTTCAACGTCACGACGACTTAAGATCCATATTCAAACATACAGATTCTAAATGGTTCAAGTTGAAGTGTTTGTTTGAACAGTCTGCAGGAGGACTTGCTTTCAAGCAGAACAGGGCAAACTTAGAGGAGTGTTTACGTGTTCGGCGTAATGACGTACAACGGCCTGGACAACTTCTGTAGTCCTATTCAGCCACTTGGTAACAACCATCGTTTTTCAGACACGTCAACTCTTCAGAAATCACCAGCGGGGTCACTGCTGATGGATTTAATGTCGTAGAACAAAACGTGATCCGTCTCTCTCAATGTGTCTCAACCACAGACCTGATTTCCAGCTATCTTCCAAAACCCTATGGAGAAATCTCATTGCTTTTTTGTCGAAGGAACCGGACGTGGTGAAATGCTAACTTACTTCCGGGTTTTAGGACGCGGCACTCTATAGAAGCAAGAGTCTAACATAGGGATGTCACCATGTTCAGAAAAGTAAACAAAAGACTCCAATTGCATCGTTTTAGGCAGTGTGGACGAGGCTTTGATAGCATTTACATGTGTCATCATATCCAGCTTGTGTGGCCTTCTCCAGTTTACCTATTTTATGAATGTGCAAAGTATAAACGTATACTTTAGTTTTGTATTTCTCTTTTGTGGTGCTCCATTTTGATATTGCATGGAGGCCTGAGTCGACTGCACCTCCACCTCTACAGACGTCTCTTAACACCCTGTCTGCAGGCTGTAGTTATCTGCAGTGGTGTGACTAATAACAGCGTCTACCTGGAAGCAATTTGACGTTGGACTCTCAGCACTACCATGAAATGTGTCTGCTCTCCTCGAGTCACCGACATGTTCCAGGACTGCTGTATCTGTGGTGGCGTTGTGACAAATTAGTCATGTCCCTCGCTCAGAAAACACACACACTGTACTGGTGACAACACCCTGTTTTCCTATATAATTGTACACCTTTGACTTTTGATTATGTAAGCAATCGCCGTGCAAACGTAATCAGAAAGAGTCACTGCTTTGCTCACTGTGTCTGGTATCAATGTCTGCTGTGACGATAACAGTTACTTTATGTAAGCTTTGCAAGAACTAACAACGTGGTGGATGGTTGTTTACACAAGTAATGCAAATGCAGGTGAAGCCGTGAAGCTGTGACGTCTCCACTGCTATCCTCATGTGTTTCAGACAACTGTTGGCATGCTGCCAAGTGGACATTCTTGACCACAGCTCTTCCAAAGCCTCCAGGACCAGGCTAAAGGGCTCGGTAATCCCCCCTTCTGTTAGCTAAAGAGCTGCCAATGAGTTGACCGTTCAAATTCACCCAGTCCCTGTGTGACTGCCTGACATTTACCCCGCAAACCCAAAAGGAAAAGCTTGTTTCCACTCGGCCACAGTTTGAATCAGCTCAGAGCGTGATGAGGTTAAGAGGCGTTGGATTTGTTTGGAAGCAAGAGGGAGGAAGTAGAGCATTGTGGGACAGATTGTTGTATCCAGCTGCTGTGAAGAAAATGGCAGCAGGTGTAAGGGTGATTAGCACGATGTGTTTAGCAGCAATGAAATGTGACTTCGAGTTCAAGAGTTCACTTAAAGGTGGGGTAGGTAAGTTTGAGAAACCGGCTCGAGATACACTTGTTGTTATATTCCATGGAATGCTCTTAACATCCCGATAGCAATGCATATCTGAAGTGCCCGACTAAAGTAACTGGATAGCCTACAGCCTTAGCCAACTTTTCTCGTGCCCTCATTGGTCATGTTCCTGTGTGTTGGAGGAGGGGCTCTGTAAGGAAGTGGCAGATTTGTTCCGGCTGTGTATTTTCAAATCCTAGCGCAGTGATTCTCAAATGGGGGTACGCGGACCCCTAGGGGTACGTTGGGGTACTGCAGGGGGTACGTGAGATTTAAAAAAATACCAAAAATAATCTTAGTACAATAAGTTAAATAGAAAACCTAGAACCTCATATAAACATGTCAAATTGGTGTATTGTATTTTATAGTTTTGCATAATATATAATGTTGTTCATTGGTTTGTTAAACAGATATTACTTCAGTTGAAAAACTCCTTGGAAAAATCAATCAATTTTTCTTTTTTCATGCATAAAATGAAAATATCCTTCGTTTGTTGTGAAGGAGTTAATAAATCACTGAGGGAACATCACTATATTGGAATCACTTGTATAGGCTTTTTCAATCAAACATTTTCGGGGTCGGTCAGGGGGTACTTGGCTGAGAAAATGTTTCAAAGGGGGGTACATTACTGAAAAAAGTTTGAGAAGCACTGCTCTAGCGCACTCGAGCTGGTTTCTCCGAAATGACCCACCCCACCTTTTAAATGTCAGGAAGCAGAACTTGGATAAACTACATCTGTACATGTACACTCTCCGACTAATCCCCAAGAATGTTTCTGGATCTGGAGTGTGGGGGGTTTAGGCCACTGTAAATATGGAAAAAGAATGATTTCAGCCCTGCTTACCCACCCTCCCTGTACTTGAGCACAGCCCTTAATGCTTATTATCGCCGCCTGGTCTGGGAGCTTTTTATTCCTCCCTTCAATTTTCAGAGCTTTCTTTTATTTATACCGTGTGTGAGACTCGTCCCACATCAGTGGAGGAGTTTAAACTGTATTAGAGGACTGCTTTCTAGGAAATTATGACTTTAAGAATATCGAACAGTTTTCATTTATTTCAAGTACGGTCAGTCCTGCACAACCCTCTGAATATTTTGCACAGTTGTTCATAAAAATACCTCCTTTAGTATCTGCACAGCTTCCACTTTTCATAACAATACTGCAGTTATTTTATTTTATTATTCAGATTGTTTTTGTCATTTTAGACGTTTTTTAGTATATCTATGTTTCATGTCAATATTTCTGGGGGCAAAACGCAACATCTTGCAAGAAACTGAGGGCTTCTTAACATTTAACAAACTATGAATGTGTCATACCCACTTAACGGGAAGAAACTCAGCTTTCAGACAATATTGACAATTTTTAGCAAAACGAAACACAAGGGTAATAACAAAGGCTCTTAATTAGCCCTGAGTGAAAAAATGCTAACACACTTAGCACAGAACTCATGGTAAAATACCCTTCTTACTTATCGGATCTGCACAAACAAGATATCGATTAGCAAGCTGAGATTCCACAGATTCCAGACATATAAGTATCATCACTGAGCGATCAGAACCCGCGGCGACACGACAACAAAATTAGCTTTACGGGACCAAATCTGAAAATAAGTCTTGCTGTTTCTGATCAAAAGTTGTGTTCAATGGCATTACAACGATAAACACGCTGCTGAAGGTTAATCCATAGGTTGATGCAATGTGTGTGTCACTTTGAAATGATTCCTGATAATCCATAATTCCATTTTTATGTCAATAACAGAGTTTTCATATTAGCTGCTACGATAGCTACTAGAGTGTATGACAGCTTCCTGTTCCGGGGCATTCTGGCATCACTCATTCACCAATGGGTAATGTTGGATTTTAGGAACTTCCCCTCGATCCTATTGGCTCTAACGGTTAAAAAGAGGTGTCAATCATCAAAATCGACCAAGGGGGGCCAGAGATATGGAAAATGCACCCAAATGAACCAAGAAGTGTTTTTTTTTCTAAACCTCTCTAAAAAGGTCAAACTTCACTTGTTTTGCATCAATCTTGATACAGGGTACTTCTTATATGTTATAGTTTGGATTCCTAAAGCTTTTAGTCTACCATCCCATCATTCAAGGGTGGTTTTCACTATTAGTAATGGTTACAGACCTATGATGTTTTCTAAACTCTTCCACCTTGATTTCTCTCCTTCTTCTAGGGATTGGGAAGGTGAAGAGCAGGAAGGGCGGGATGAGGGACACGGCCTCCAACGCGGACGCAGACGGGTACGATAACGGCGAGCGCCTGTACGACCTCAACCTGCCTGCGCTGGTGAAGTTCAGCTACACGGCGGAGCGCGAGGACGAGCTGTCTCTGGTGAAGGGCACGCGGGTGGTGGTGATGGAGAAGTGCAGCGACGGATGGTGGCGCGGCAGCTACAGCGGGCGCTCCGGGTGGTTCCCCTCCAACTACGTGACGGAGGACATGGACGGCACGGCGGGGGGCGGGCTGGGAGACCCCGCCGGATCGCTGACGGAAAAGTTGGCGGCCGTGGTGAACAGCACCGCCAACGGGAACCGCGTGCTGCACACGGTCCAGGCGCTCTACCCCTTCGGCTCCGGGAACGACGAGGAGCTGAACTTTGAGAAGGGCGAGGTGATGGAGGTGGTGGAGAAGCCGGAGAATGACCCCGAGTGGTGGAAGTGTCGCAAAGCGGACGGACAGCTGGGCTTGGTGCCTAAAAACTACGTCACGGTGCTGGACTCCGGTTCGTTTAAACCTGGAGCGGGACCCGCGGGGCCGCCCACGCCCGACTGCGACTACATCACGCCCTCCACCGTGGGGCGCTTCGCGGGGAAGGAGTGGTACTACGGGAAGGTGACGCGCCACCAGGCGGAGGTCGCGCTCAACCAGAGGGGCGTCGAGGGGGACTTCCTCATCCGGGACAGCGAGTCATCGGTCAGTAGCAGTGTTCATTTTGGCAGCTATTTTTTATTTAGTCTTTAGACGAAAATGGTTATTAGTTTTAGTCCTTTTTATCCTTCATAGTTTTAGTCAAAATGTTTTCTGTCTTTAAACTAATTCAGTTACAAACACAGGTATCTGAAATTGGAATCAATGTCACAGCATCAAGAGTTGGAATTCCTAAAGCAACATTTCACTCTCTTAACACTTTACGTGTGTAATATCTAGGGATGGGTATCGTTAAGGTTTTTAACGGTACTACTACTCTTAAAAATCTGTGTGCGCACCGCTGCAGCGTGTCTGTTAGGCCCCGCCCCCCACACACACAGACACAGACAGACAGAGAGATAGTTAGGCCCCGCCCCCCACACAGACAGACAGAGAGAGAGATAGTTAGGCCCCGCCCCCCACACAGACAGACAGAGAGAGAGAGAGTTAGGCCCCGCCCCCCGCACACAGAGAGACACAGGGAGATCGCTCTTCTGGAGCGAATAGAGCAGAAATAATGATATTGCAAGTTAGAAACGTGAGATGCCTTTTGACAGACAAGACGGACACTTGGGGGAAAATATGCTGCATTTTGAATATCCGATAGTCCACCATTAACACCTTAGTCTCGTCAACGAAAACTAAATATACATTTCGTCATAGTTTTTATTATCAATCATCTACTTTTAGCTCGTCATCGTCTCGTCTTAGTCATGTAAAAAAGGTCGTTGACGATTGTTATAGTTTTCGTTGACGAAATGAACACTGGTCAGTAGCTTCACCTGCACAACACACTCATTCATTTATGTTCGTTTAGCATGAAACACTTGAAAGAACTAAAGGATAAGTTAAACAAGAAAGTAGAAAGAAAGTGAGGTCATAGAAAACTTTGTCTGCTAAAAAGTGAGCAATGATTGAGAGCTAAACATTACAGATGTGTGTATCTCACACGGCACTGTCACTTTTATTCATGTATCTTTGCTTTTTAAATGAGTGTTTTTAAAGGTCATTTCATAATATTGTCGCGACCCGGTATAGGGTGCTGTGTGGGTCACTCAAGCATCCCCCGTCTCTCTGCCAATCACAGAGCTGCACAGTAATGCTGGTCGGTGTGCGGTTGAGGGAGCAGAGGGGGGGAGGGCTGGAGAGTGGTGACGTTGACCCTGCTGTGTGTGTGTGAGTTATGGAGTGGAGTGATGTTGAACCTGTGACCTATGAACCTATATCTGTATGCGATCAAAGGAGTTATTAAACCTAATAACTTGACGCCTGTTTCCGACTCCTATTGTGGAACGTTACAATATGTTTCTTAATGGTGGGGGGGGGATGCATAGTAATCAGCAGCGAACCGCTTCAACACGTGTATTTCGGTTTATTCACCGCATTCATTTTGTTATTCTACAGTATTGTTGTTTTATAGTTATTTGTTAATGTAACCCAATTTGTGTTCTTTGAAATTGAAAAGGATATGGCATTGTGTTTGTTACTTGCGTTGCAGTTGTATATGTCTCCTATTTATGGACATGCTTTTATTTTGAAGGAGAGGTAGCGCTGTTGACAGGAAGTTGTTGTTGCTATGGAAACAACGTCACGGAGATTAACGGAGAAAAGTAATATCTACATATAAAGACGGAGAAAGTAAACGATAACGTTTATGGTTAAGTGTTAGCACCCCCCGAAGAGGCACAAGCTCTTACGTTGATATTGGAGATTTCAATAAATTCAATTTGGAAAAAAAACGGGGGGAAAACAAACAAAACGAATATCCGAATAACGAAATTGAAACCCGAATAGTACTCCAACGAACAAATATTCGGATATTCGGGTACAGCCCTATTTGCTACGTTCCACATCTCTCTTAGCTTTTACATCTCAATAAACAAATAAAAGGTCAAGGTCATATCCTTGCAATGCGACTGCAGCAGTAGATGCTACGAGCAGTTGTGTCACTGTCCTCAGGAGGTAGGACTCTGTCCGTCTGATTATGTAACGTCACATTTCTCTTTCTTTCCGCAGCCAAACGACTTCTCCATCTCCCTGAAAGCGCAGAGCAAGAACAAGCATTTCAAGGTGCAGCTGAAGGAAACCCTTTACTGCATCGGACAGCGCAAGTTCAACTCCATGGAGGAGCTTGTGGAACACTATAAAAAGGCTCCCATCTTCACCAGCGAGCAGGGAGACAAACTGTACCTGATCAAGGCCCTGGCCGCCTCCTGATCCCTCTCACACACAGGAACACACACATTTTACATTAACTGCATCCATATATACACAGATAACCTACGGCACACTAACATGTCAACTCCAAGCCTGAGGACTCGACACATCGTCAGGACTGCAATGCCCGATTTGTGAGCATTCCAAGAGGAGGTATGGGAAAAGCATGGGAGAGACACGGAGGAAAAGGGGGAGACAAAGAGACGATATGGACTCCTGAGAGTTGACTACAGACCTCTTGGTCGCCTATTTTAAATTATCCAGATGCGTTAGGTCATAGGCAATGCCATGTATTTCCACCTTGATATCTATTAGAGTTGCATTTAGTTTATTTTGTTTTGTTTTTGTTGATAATATATAATCTTTTAACAGTTTTCTTTTTTTTAAATGTGATTTTTTTGTATCCAACACAACATCCACCAAACCCGTATTTTTTAAGCCAACTATCCCGCAGAGCTCATTTTTGTGTTGTCTGTCTTAATTAGTTATTTTATGATTGTGGACACCCTAATCCACGGCTTCTGCTAATCATGAATACAAAAAAAAACAAGTGACCAAAATATATTTATTGATACCTGTTAGGCGGCGGCGGCGAGTCACAGATCTGCGCATTTTAGGAGGATTGCTCTTCTCGTGCAAACTAGTTGTCTTTGCGTGTCTCACATATTGCTGTATCCATATCATGTGAATGTTACAAAGCCGAGGCATCGCAGTGTGTGTGTGGGGGGGGGGTGTGACGCTGCATGGTGCATGCAAACAGAAAAGTGTCCTCACCCCCGCTCTGTTATCTCCGAAAACAGTGTGTCCATAGAGGTCACGGAAGAGTGAACATGGAGTGTGAGTGACAGCTGATGCGTCCTGTAAAGTTGCCAAAGGGGACGTGTCTCTGCACATGTTGAGAGCGGGGGGGCGGGGGGGGGGGGTGAACGCTGGGAGGGGGAACGAGCGAAGGATGATGTCACCGCTCCTGAATTAGTGATCACTGGAGGAGTTAGGGGGTCACCCAGGGGTCGAGTTAGTGCGGTCGCAACGAATATACATCAAGCTGGGAGAGGAGACGCCCTCCTCTTCCTCCTCCTCCTCCTCCTCCTCTTCCTCCTCTGAGGGTTTCAGGAGGTGAAGGAGATGCTTGATGGTTATCTGGGCATTTCATTTCAAAATGTCTTAAGAAGTCTCCTATCGGTCTGTTTGCAGATCAGAGAGTCCTGTTGTGAACGTGGAGATGTTTAGTACGGGTCCCCAGTACATAGAAACTGACCGATGCTATCTTGCAATTTGTACAATTAACAGTTTTAAAATGACTTTGCCGATTTGAAACATTTTCCAGTGGTTTTGGAGGATGTTGGAAAATCAACAATGGCAGTTTTAACCAGAAAGTTGCCATGTTTTGAACTTTATGTGAATTTTGAGTCGGTTTTAAAGTTTTAGGGGACTCAAAACTGCCATTTTTTTAATCCTAAACATGTCAGAAATGGATTCAACATCCTCAATAACCTTAAAAAAAACACACAAATTGTCCAAATCGGCAAAAGCCATTGTTTACCTAGCATGTGCTATTTAATGCAACGTATGCTATTTGTGCAAATTCCCCAGCATTTGCAAGTTAGCATCCGGTAGTTTCTATGTGCTGGGGACCCATACTATAACGCAAAACGTTGGGGTACTCAACATTTCCGGGTCTTCACAGCTGGTAGATTATTCGGGGGGGAATCCAGCTTGTTTCAAACCCAGCAGAGCCCCTGGTTTGTATTTACAGTGAGCGGGTTAGTCGTGGAGTGAAAATGGACCAAGTATTTGTTTGAATGTCGAGGGGCAGCTAGCAGACGATGATGCTCGGGGTGATGAGTTCTCCAGCTGTTGGACCCGAGCTCGGAGAGAGATGGAGGAGGAGGGATATCATAGAGGAGCAGTGGAAAAATAGACCCTAAAAAAACAAAAGCAGAGATCTGGGAGTGTGTTTCCACGGAGGATCTGGATTAGAGATTCCCAGGCACTGACGGGCGGGGAAGTGAACTGAGGCCAAAGCTGATGTGTCATAGTTTGAGGATAACACATGTTGGATGGGTTTGTAACTTCTAATTAATCCAAGCATGAGAAAGTCAGCCATGCCACAAAGAACACATGGGTGCGAACATCGAGCTGCTCTTTCTCTCTGTTTTGGAGCCGTACGAGATGGACGCTGCAAACCATTACCTTTCACTTTGATTCATGGCAAGTTCTAATTATGCACCTGCAGTGAGTTTAAGTTCGCATTAAGCGGGACGAAAACAACATTCCAGGAATGAAAAAAAAAGTTCCCGTTTGGACTCGAAAGAGCTCTTGTTCGACGTGATGAAGAATTGTTTCTTTTGGGTCCAAAATCTGTAAAAAAGTCATGATGTTTTTGCCTCCTTTCTTCTCTGTTTTGCAGAGCAGTATTTTGGTTACAGAAATCCAGTTTTCAGTCTTTAGTGTTAACCGAACGCTATCATTTGTGAAATCCCCTCCCTCCAGATTGAAAGCATCTGCAATATTTCGCAGCAACCGCCAACAGTGCGACAGCTTGAAGGATTTAGGAGATTTGAATGTGCCTTCACAGATTTCTGTCAACCAAAGGTTAAAGTCTTATTATTTGAATCTTTTCCTCCCACTTCTTGTCGTGTTATTTGGTTAAAGCTTTGCATGTGTCTGCGATGTGTTGGGGGATGTCATCCTTATCGAGAAGGGGCGTTTCCTCCTAAAAACGTGTCTTTGTCACGCATTAAATGCCCATTTGGTGATATTGTGTGTAGTTTCAAGTGACCTTACCTTTGCTGATCTCATCAAGTATAACTTCTTAAACGCCTACATGTACATATGTGCTGATGTTCATTCAGAACCTGCAGGTGTGACCTGAATCTCATGTACCGGCGTCCTCCATGTTTCCAAGGAAATAGTCTGTATGCGTTTCATATAAGACATTCACTTTTAGCCACTTAAATATGTACAAAAACATCCTCAATGTTATTGGAATACAGAGCCGCAGTATCTCCTTGATATTGTTATAAATTGGGATTTTACTTTTCATTTGACACCAATGGAGGCCGCATGAGCAGAGCCTTGTAGCTGTACAGAAATGGGTTTGCTTGTGAAGACACAGGTCAGTCGTGACGGATACTATCGTTTATCAAATCAAGAAACTACGGAGCAGCTGGAAACGTATTTCTTGTCTGCTAACCAAGCCTGAGATAATCTTGACTGATTTCTCGATGATATCCAGAACAATCGACCCGTGCTTTTTAAACCGTTGGTGCTTTGTGTGCTGCTTTCTTGGTGTTCTGTCCCACAAAGCTTTTTTTTCCCTGTATGAGAGAGTGAAGCAAAACAGATCCATGCTGTGGAATGATAAAGGCAGTGCTGTGAAATTTAATGTCATGCTCTTAATACTGTTTTTATGGCGGGGGAGGGGGGGGGGGAGATCGTCTTCAGGTGTAATAATTTAGAAGAGTTTATTAGAGTGTTCGAAAGACGTAATAAACGGCATAAAAATGATCATGTCTTGTTTTGATCTGTTGTTAAATGTTGGTATATCCACTTTTCCTTAAAGGGGCCCTATTCTGCTTTTTGGGGTTTTCCTTAAATGTGTGTTTTTATAGGTGTATGTAAATGGTCTGCTGAGGCTCAAATGTGATAACATCAGGGGCAAAAACAAACAAGTGAATCTGAAAACGAGCAGAATAGGCCCCTTTAAGTGTCGAATGTCGGTACTTTAACTTCCCTTCTTTCCTAAAGGTGTGTTTATTGGATACAAACTAAAATTGTTATGCAAACTAGCCGAACTTTCTGAAAACTGCGTGGGTCTCCTTTGTTCCGTCGCTATGATGTGATAATATTGCAGTTTAAACGGGGACTTTTCACAGCTGTGGTTTTGTGTGTTGCATGTGCGCCATCTGGTGGGAGGTGTAATGACACACGTGGCCAACACCACCCAGGCCAATTTAAAAAAACAAACTTTTCCTTCATTTTAGTCCCCTATTCCAAATCACTCTTTAGAAGACCATGACATTTCAAAAATAAAATCCTCTTCATCATCATTCACATTGGATGCTCATACTTTTTCATTATGATAAACGTTGCCCATTAATCTCATAAATCCCCCTCGCTGTCCCAGGATCTCAGGCCTACTTGAGACAAAGCAGGCCTGTGTTGTTGTTACGTAACTTTGGGCTGATTCGAGCCAAAGCCCCCCCCCGCCGGTCTTACAGTATCTGACCCCAAACACAACAGCAGGAGCCTTCAGCTTCACTCCCCATTTCAGAGAATAAAGCAAAAACATTACAAAGTGTGTATATATGTGGGGAACAAACAATCTTGTTTTTAAAGTGATCCCACAGCGAGCAAAAGTACTACATGATTACAAGTGTTTACTCTGTATGTGTACCACTTATAGTATACCTGCGCTATCGAAATCAGTCACTTTGACCCCATGTTGAGTTCTATACACTGTGGGAAAAAGAAGTATTTAACATAACATGATCACACAATGAGAAAAAGGCCTTTAACGTTTGCTGACATTTTTAGCCGTAGTTATTTTCAGACCGTTCACATTTTCACTGTCTTTTCAAGCCTGAAACATGCATCAGGCTTCATCTGAATATGGCGACAAAAGTGAGCAAAACACGACTTGTTGACAAATCTGTTTAATTTGATAGAGCGTATACTTTGATACATAAAGTTATTTATTGTGCAAAGTCCCCTTCCTCATGTCTCTTCTACATCAACATGTCTGGTGTTTCAGCCAATCAGAGACATGTTATCTGAGACCTGTGATATATTGATGAAACACAATATGATAGGAGACCTTTAAGGCTTGATCAGTGAATGTTTAAAGTCCAGAGAGCCCTCTTGAGAGTCTGTGTTGTACAGGAAGAGCTTCTAGAAGTACAGGAAGTCGGACATGGCGGCCGGCAGATGTGTCATCAGCTGGACTCTGATCCACCAGTGCGGCTCCATCGGATGGTACCGAGTGTACGGGCGTTTGGACATAATGGCGTCAGTGATGTCCTCCAGAACCGGAGATATGTCCTTCTGACCGCTGTTGCTGTTCGAGCGCACGTGAGCCATGAGCATCTCAAATCGAGCTTTCCCATAATCCTCCTGGACGTGCGCCGGCGCCTCGCTCCACAGCTTGTTGGCCGTGTTGTTCATGCTCTCTCGGGTCATGATGCCCGTGGCTGCCATGAAGTTCCCCGGCTCCACGATAGACACTTTCACCCCCCAGGTCTTCATCTCGTAGCGAAGGCAATCGGAAAAGGCCTCCACGCCGTATTTGGAAATGCAGTACGGAGAACTCAAGGCGCTCCCCATCCTCCCCATCATGCTAGAGATGTTCACCACTCGACCTGGAGAGAAACAGAAATAAATATCAGGGGAAAGTGTATATATGTGGGGAACAAACAATCTTGTTTTTAAAGTGATCCCACAGTGAGCAAAAGTACTACATGATAAGTATTTACTATGTACAGTACTCGAGTTGAGGGGGGATGGCATCCCCCCTGAAATAAAAACGGTCAAAATCATCCCCCTTCTAAAACTGCCATTCCCCCTTATGTAATTTTATCGATGAACTGGTATTAGGCCTACTGCTATTTCAGCATTAATTTTACGCATTTTGAGTAAAATACTGTGGGCGAGTGAGCACGTTTCTCTCTCGTGTTAGCTAGCTGGTCAGATTCACAACTGTTGATGAAATGATACCACCAGCACCAGAAGAGCTGAAACCCCTCCTTCAAGCAGTGAACACTCTGGTCATCTCCACAGCTGAGTGTGAACGTGGGTTTAGTCAGATGAACATTTGAACCACAACTAGAAGCTCCCTAGAGGTAAAAAGCATGTCAGGTTGCTTTTCATCAAGTGTGTTGGCCCTCCACTGAACAAGTTCAGACCAGAGGTATATGTCAAGACTTGGCTTCAAAGCCATTGCTTAGCTAACAATCCGAAAGCAAGAGCCAGAAAAATTGAGACCAAAAAGCATGATTATGAAAATCTTTGGAAACTTCTATGAGATGGGGGAGAGTGGAGATGGGGGAGAGTGGAGATGGGGGAGAGTGGAGATGGGGGAGAGTGGAGATGGGGGAGAGTGGAGATGGGGGAGAGTGGAGATGGGGGAGAGTGGAGATGGGGGAGAGTGGAGATGGGGGAGAGTGGAGATGGGGGAGAGTGGAGATGGGGGAAAGTGGAGATGGGGGAGAGTGGAGATGGGGGAGAGTGGAGATGGTGGAGATGGGGGAGAGTGGAGATGGGGGAGAGTGGAGATGGGGGAGAGTGGAGATGGGGGAGAGTGGAGATGGGGGAGAGTGGAGTATAGGCAGCCATTGACAACATTGGTCCTATTTTGTATTATCTGTATAATCTTTTAATATATTTTCATATTTTGTAAACAATTTCAATTTGCACTTAATGCCCTGTTAAAAAAAGTAACATTGGGAATGTTAACATAAAATATTTGCATTTGAACTGCAATAAAATGATGACGGATCAATTGTTTTCTAATTGTTTTCCTCAAATTTTTCATGAAGAATTTACATAATGATTTAATTAATTACGATACAAATGTAACCCTTTAGATACCAGTTTTGATCGTATACCAGTTACTGCTTTTTTGAAAAAAATACACTATAATTCAATATTCTAAAAACTATTTTGACTTTATTATTAGTATAATCAGTTGATCATCTGAATAATAAAGGAGGGACTGTTAACCTATAAGATTTGTACCATAGACTTCCATTATAACCACATTTCTGTATCCCCTCCCCCTCTTTAAATTAAAGTGAAAAAAAGATTTTGCACTAACTGTCCTCTGCATTTGACCCTAAATGTTAGTGGTGCCATGGCAGCCGGGGACCGACTCTAATTCTGAGGTGCCTTGGTCAAGAGCAATGAAAGGAGTATCTGAGCATCCATGTTGTTTTAGGAGTATAATAATTATCTTTATGCTGGTTGGTCTCCCACCCTCGGCGGGTTATCAGCACACATTATGTCCCCATATGATCAAATCCACCATCCCCCCTGATTTCTTTTTACAACTTGAGTACTGGTTGTGTATGTGTTTTAAGTAGTTACCACTTATACTATACTGTATGTGCTCTATCAAAATCAATCACTTTGACAGATACAGAAACACTCAGGATTTCTTTCTGGATGTTTCTCTGAACGCAGCACCACCAGTAATAAGATTATGTAAAATAGTGCATCTTCAAACCTTGTAGCTTGTTAAGCATTCAGTTCAAAAGGGTTAGGGTTAGGGAGAACCCTAACTGTCATAAGACGTTTTTAACATGTCCTGGGACTATGCTCGACTTTAATACATCACTGTTTCCTTACTAATTAAAGTCTTACACATTCAAAACACAGAAGACTAGCATTCATTGGTTTCTACATTATAATATTGGAGTTCTTCTCATTCACTGTTTTATCCAGTTAATGTTCTTTATGTGTTTGTATTACTGTCTTTTGTGTTGGAATAGAATAGAATCCTTTATTGTCCTTATGCAGTACAATGAGATGAGTAGAGCCTTTTTTAAGTTGCCATCCAAAAAACAAACGAGACGGACAACATTCAGGAGAAGACAACATACAAACAACAAGCATTCATACTTAATTGAAGCACTTTCTTAGCCATATTAAGTGCTATCGCTCCAACACATTGTAGGTGATAGGCTAAGGGGCGGGACTTCTCTAAGCAGAACATATTTAAGAGAGATTCAGCAGATTGTTTGCACTGAACACGTGGCTTTCAACTGTCTGTATTGACCATTCTGTCAATTATATTGACAACTTTAACTTTTTCTGGGACCGCAGACATCTTTTTAAGGCAAATGGAGTTTGTCTGAACAAATCAGGAGTGAAATTGTTTATCTCTAACGTGTTCAACTGCCTACGTCATCAATCTGTTCCCTCTGCCAAGGACAAGCAACAAGAGGAATCAAAACAAGAGAAAGACACAACACATCGCTCAGAAAACCTTGAAAAGCTATCACTGCACCCGCCTGAGGAATGTCTTGATTATGGGAGACAAATGGAGGAGTCTCCACCGCCCTTCACCCCCCTATCACCTCTGAGGATACTCCTCCTTCACCCCACAGCTCTCTCTACTCTCCGTTCACCCTCGCCCACCCTCCTGGAGATCGCTGAACACACGAAGGAGATACAGAGGGTTGGCACCGATTCCTTCCTGGAGTTCAAAGACCAAACTAAGGCGATACGCAGGGCTGGCAGCATGTCCTTTACCCCCGCTCCTCAACGACGCCCACCAAAATCACTGCAGAGACGCGCACCATCTCCCCCGTCTTCATCACAGTGCCTACGTCAACCACCCCCCCCCCCCTGGCAGCATGTCCTCTACCCCGGCACCATCTCCCCCGTCTCCATCACCGTGCCTACGTCAACCACCTCCCCCCCTGGCAGCATGTCCTCTACCCCGGCACCATCTCCCCCGTCCTCATCGCCGCGCCTACGTCAACCGTCCTCATCACCGCGCCTACGTCAACCACCCCCCCCCCCCCCCCCCCCCCGGCAGCATGTCCTCTACCCCGGCACCATCTCCCCCGTCTTCATCACAGTGCCTACGTCAACCACCCCCCCCCCCCTGGCAGCATGTCCTCTACCCCGGCACCATCTCCCCCGTCCTCATCACCGCGCCTACGTCAACCACCCCCCCCCCCCGGCAGCATGTCCTCTACCCCCGCACCATCTCCCCCGTGTCCATCACCGTGCCTACGTCAACCACCTCCCCTCCCTTCAAGAAAGCATCTGCAGTCTCCGAAGCCTGATAAGGATGTGTGTGTACAAAACGCAACAAACTCTTACTGATATGGGCTGGGTCCAGGCTCAAGGGCGTATGGCACTCTCAACTCTTTCCAGAACATGCCGGGGCCCTGCCTGCCAGTAGCTTTGCCGATATCTGTGTTGATAGGTAATAGATTAAGAGCGGTGAATCAGCTCAGATACAGGAAGTGCTCAAACGTTCGTGTGAGTTTATCTAATTTAGCAGTGATTCCATGTCAGCCACAGCTTGTCACAACAAATCTTACTGA